AATTAATTACAATAGCTGTATAGTCTCATTCATATTCAATTTGTTGTTGGGTATCTACTAAATTAAAATTAAAAACTTTTACTTTGTTTTTCTCTCTCGACGTAATCTTTGAATTTCCTCTTTATTTGTTTTCTATACTGAATTTCCCCATTCTAGCTAACAACTGCTTGCTCAGTCTCTGCATTGTCTGTTTCATAATCACTCAATCTGATCGGTTAAGGAGATGCACAATTCCATCTCCTTAGGAGAGGGTACTATGCTATTTCTACCTCACACAGCAATAAGAGTGTAGTTCTAGGCGCTAAAATGATATTTTCAAACCAGACCATTAAGGGTTAATTGTTGAGGATTAATTGGCTATGACAATGAGCAATTGAAGTGGAAAAGTACATGAAAAACAGGCCTGATGCAAAAACTGGATGAACACAGCAGGCCAAGCAGCATCATAGGAGATGATGCTGCTTGGCCTGCTGTGTTCATCCAGCTCTATACCTTGTTATCTCAGATTTTCCAGCGTCTGCTGTTCCTACTACTCTGATGCAAAAACTGTCTGTTTTGACTGTGGTTTGGGATTGGAGGATGCTGCCTGACCTTGAGGGTCAGTGGGAACCATCCACTTAAGCAGCCGACATGGGGCACCTGGGCTTTTTTTTAGCCTATTTTTCACGGCTGGAAACACACTGAAGTTATTATGAAATGGTGTTACATCATTTAATCAGAATAGTATTAATACCAGTGACACAGTCCCACTCTTGGGAATTACCCCCATCAGACCAGGTTCATGAGACTGGGGCCATAGACCTTCACCATCGGACTAGTGTTCAAAGACTGGTGCCATGGCATCTGAGATAGAGCTCCAAGTGCTAGCCATCACCCAGGAGTCCCCAATGAGTAGAAGGCAGTGAGACTCATTAGTTGAATATGTCTAAGTAGTTTAAGCTAAAAGAGTCACCCATTATTTTGGATATACCTAAAGTAGGTCAAACTAATAAATTTGTTTTATAGCAAAGCACACGTGTCATCATGTGTATATTTTGATCAGACACTAAAGAACTGGTTAGGTACTTTCACATAAGAATATATGGGGTAAAATGTTGTGGAGACTAAATAGATAAGGACAAGGCCAACTAATGCTGCAGGACATCTCTGCAGTAGGTCCCCAAGGTAGGGTGTTAGGTCCAACCTTCTTCAGTTCCTTCATCAATAACCTTCCCTCCATCATAACGTCAGAAGTGGGGATATTTGCTGATAAATGCTTTATGTTCACCACCTTTTAGGACTCCTCAGATATTGAAGCAGTTCATGCCCAAGTGAAGCAGGACCTGGACAATATCCAGACTTGGGCTGACTAGTGGCATATAACATTCATGCCAAACAAGAGCGAGGAAATGACCATCTTCATCAACAGACAATCTAACCATCATCTCTTGACATTCAATAGCACTACTGAATTCCCCACTATGAACATCCTGGAGTTACCACTGAATAGAAACTGGACTAGCCATATAAGAACTGTGACTACAAGAGCAGCAAGTGATTTACCTTATAACTTTCCAAAGCTTGTTCACCATCTATAAGGCAGAAGTCAGGAGTTTGATGGAATACTTCCCAGCCACCTGAATAAGCATAGCTCCAAAAACACTTATGGCTTGACAACATCCAGGACAAAGAAGCCTGCTTGATTGGCACCACATCCACAAAACATTCACTTCCATCGCATCAACTCACAGTAGCAACAGTGCATACTATCTACTGGTGCTCTGCAGAAATTCAATGAGGCTGCTTAGACAGCAACTTCCAAACAACCACTACCACCTAGAAGGACAATGGCAGCTGATACATGGGAACACCACCACCTGCAAGTTCCTCTGTAAGCCATTCACAATCCTGACTTAGAAATATGTCGCCATTCTTTCACTGTCGCAAAACACTGGAGATTCCTCCTTAACTTGTGGATCTACATGGATCAAATGGACTGCAGCGGTTAAAGAAGGCAGCACACCACCACATTCTCAAGGGCAACTAGGGATGAGCAATGAATGCTTACCAGCCAGCGATGCTCAAATTCCATGAACTATTAAAAAGACAATGATGGGAACTGTCTGTTGGCCTACCACAGTAGAAAGATGCAGTGCAGGAACACAGTGGCCTAGAAATGTATTGATGCTGTGCCTATTTTACAGCCATGAAATAGACTCCCAATATTCTAAACTGGTGGAGGGTGTCAGTCTGTATATTCTTCGTTGGCCATGCACTGGGTCCATATTGGTAAAGAAGTTTATGTGAGCTGAATATGTGTTTATTTCACATTTCAGAAGTCATTGTCTGCAGGTTTGTTTTGTGAATACATATTAAAATATTATTTTAATCCTATTGATAAAGTAATAAAAACAGAAATTGCTGGAAAAGCTCAGCAGGTCCGGCAGCATTTGTGGAGAGAAATCAGAGTTAACATTTCAGGTCAAGTGACCCTTCCAGTTCGTTAACTCTGATTTCTCTCCACAGATGCGGCCAGACCTGCTGAGCTTTTCCGAGCAATTTCTGTTTTTGTTTCTGATTTACAGCATCTGCTGTTCCTTCAGTTTTTATTGATAAGATAATGTTGAGTTATTAATTATATTTATTGATCTATGACTGAATTGTTTAATAGTGCACACCTTATATCTGATCCAGTCCTGCTTCCCAAAATTGAACATCCCTGAATGAAGCGAACAGAGGCTTTCCTTAAGATAACCAAGCCCATAGTTGACCTACTCAGCAGCTATTAAAGGATGGTTGCCATCTAAAAGGTATGTTTTTCAAAAGTAACTACCCAAATGTGAAACCAGAAGTGGCAAGTGTTCTCCTCGCAGCCCTAGAGTTGAGAGCATTGACAGCTATTCACCCTTAGTCCCCCTTTTACTGCTGATTGCATTCCACAGCCCCATTCTCACTAATATTCTGATCCCGATTATAACCTCCCACTGCCTCAGGGCCTAACCTAGAGCATGTATGACAGTGCAGCAGCCGAAAGTTTAAAATAGAAGCAGAGAATGCTGGAAATGCTCAGGAGCTCTGGAGGCAACTGTAGATAGAGTAACAGAGTTAGCACTTCAGGTCTGTGACCTTTCATCAGGACCAGAAAGGTCACAGACTCAAAGCATTAATTCTGCTTCTCTCTCTGTGTAGATGCTATCCAATCTGCTGTGAATTTTGCTTCATTAGCAGATAAATGTTATTCAATATTGCCCCAAGTATTCTTACTTTATTTTATCTGTCTTGATCCCAGAACACTTTAGTTTGCATAAGATTATGTTATTCACAAATTTCTGAATTTTGTACTGATTTTTATGTATCTATAATACTTTGTGCATAATTATTCCTGTCACCAAGACTATTTCACTTGTTTTATTCAATTAACAGTTAATACTGCTGCTTGTTTAATAATTCATGCTAAGGTGGAAGTTTATTTCAAGGTTTCAAGAAGGACGTATTTTATGCACTTTTAGCATTCCACCTGGGTATAAAGCTGCCCATGTTTTCACCGAGTCTCATTTTAAGAATCATTTTCTGTTTAAAACACCTAAAAATGATTCAGAAAGTGGAAATTAATCAAAGGTATTAGTCTTAAATGTAATTAATGACTTATCATTATCTTATCAATAGTGATTAAAATAATGTTTAAAGGTATAATCACATAACAAACCTACAGATAATGACTTATTAAATGTGAAATAAATACATATTCAGCTCACATAAACAGGAATTAGTACCTAACTAATTAGTACTAAACATGGTGCACCATCACAGCACATCTTCTGGTAAGCAGAATCACAAGCGACAGCACATGGATTTGATGACATGGAGAATTACAAGCAGGCATTATCTGAAGCATACTTCATTAAATCCTATTCACGTTTTTAACCTTCATTTAGCTTTCAAAACATGAATTTCTAGAAAACAAATTTCATAAGTATTTTGCTTTGCCAACTGTAGACTCAAATATGTTGAATAGAAAATATTTAAATCAATTCATGCTTGAAAGTGAGCATACCATGACTTTAATTTTAATTCCTAAATGTTACTGAAGTTCTATACTTCTCATGAAATAAGTATCAAGATTATGTCCTTAGATAAAATTACAGTATTTAGAAAATTGATATCTACGAGCATGCAAATTACAAACAGGAGGAGATCATTCTGCCCCTTGAGCTTGTTCCATCATTTAGGGACTTGACAGGTTGGATGACGATAAGATGTTTCTTCATGTGTGAGGAACCAGACTAGCCGGCACGGTATTTTCACTTCATCTACATCCATCCCCACCCCATCCTAGGAATCAATGAAAGTGGAACTTCTCTGACCTGTTTCTAATGCCCTTTTACCCCCTTTGCTTAAATGAGGAGACTGTATACAGTACTCCAGGCTGCCTGACTCCCTTGAGTTGTATTTCTTTATTTTCCTAATTTATAGTATGAAGAACTGTAATGTTGAACGTTAGCTTTTTTCTTTATTTCTCTACTTTTGTACCTAATCTATTTCAGTACCTAAGCTTCGTAACTAGATACGTTGTATGTAAAATGGTGCCATGTGGCAACATTGTACACTTTTTTCTGTACTCCTATATTTTTATACTTTAGTGACAATAAAACCTAATTCTAATTCAGACTTTGAAAATGCCCTGCTATAAGCACCTTAATACGAGATTTCTCGTATGACAGGTGTTTAGCTAACTTCCCTGTAATTCCCGTTGTTTCTATCTCCCTCCTTTCTCAAATACATGATGCCAAAACTTACCTTGAAAATAGCAGGATGCTACTTTTCAAATTAATTGTCATGATTGTTTAAATAACAATGTATCATTTTAGTGTCCATTAAATTTTAGATTATTTATCAAACAGCAACATTGCAAAATGAATAAACTATTTTTTTCCTGAATTATTGGATCATCCAAAACAAGAAATCTATAGTAAAGAAGAATTTTCATCCCATTCAACGAACTAAAATATTAATTGGCTCACCTCTTCTTTGGTCAGCATCCTATGATTCATATTCCTTCTTTTATCTTCATGGTGTTGCTTTTCATTTTCTTCAAAATCATAAAGTTCTGGGATTTCAAATGATTTTTTCTTAGATTTCAAATATTGTGCCAGCTTGTCCATTCTATTATACATCTTTTTCTCATCCAAATCATGGGCAAAATGTTGTCTTGATGCATGTTCTTCATTATCTTCCTGTTCCTGTCCCTGGTCTTCATTCTCATATTTTTTCACATGCTTCTTTTCCCATTTACCATCATGACCTTCATATTCTGGATAGTAGTAGCTTTCCTCCCTGTGCTTCATTTCTTCTTCCCTGCCAGGGGTTCTGTCCTCCATGCTATGCTTTATCTGCCACCAAACCTTCTGCATTCTCGGCAAGTGTTTTGTATTTCTCTCTACTTCTTCGTCTTCTTCATTGTTGGCAAATTTCTCTTCTGCACTTTCATCAGTTCGGAGCCATTTTTCATTGTGAATATGTCTCTTTTCTTCTTCACTATAATGTCTCATTTCCTCACTGTGATGTTTATTTTCCACATCCTTCTCTGGCTCTTCCTCTTCACTGTGTCTCTTGTTCCCATCATAATGTCTCTTTTTCTCCTCTATGCTACGGTGCTTCTTTTCTTCACTGGACTGTACTTTTTCTTCACTGTGGGTACTTTTGCCATGGTAATGTTCTTCCTCCACTGATTCTTCTGAGTTACTCCTCATGTGTCCATCTACTATATGCTCATAATGATTCTTGCCTTTCCCATATGCTTCCTGAATGTTATTTCCCTTCAGGTAATTATGAATGTTCTTGATGTGTTCCAGTTCTTTACTGGTTTCTTCAGATTTATCAGCATTCTTCTCATCTTGGTGGGGACTCCTCCTATCCTCATCGAAATGACTGTAGCTGTTTCTTTTGTGGTAATATATGTGATCATGAAGAAGTTTTTCTCTTTCTTCACTATCATTCTCTTCTGACTCTTCAGACTCAGCTTTCTTACGGCCATAATAGCCATTTCTTTTGTCTTGATTATTGAGATCTTCCTCAGACCCATCCATCTCTTGGTGGCTGTCCCTTTCTCCAGTACTATGTCTTTTTTCATCTGACTGTCCACCTAAACCAATTGTCTTATCTTCCTTAGACGACTCCTCATTTCCTTTGTCATATCCATGAGGCCATTTTTGATGGAATCCATGGCTTGTAAGCTCAGAACCATCTGTTTTTGATGGACTGTTTTGTTCTTGCCCACTATCCTCCTCACTGTGTCTTCGTTTCCTGTGTTTTTCTTCTTCATCGTCTTCAATTTGATCATCTGCATATCTTCTTTCTTCATAGCTAAAGTGCTCTTGGCCAGTGTGGTCATTTCTGAGGTCTTTCACTTGATGGGGGCTTTTGAATGGTTTGAAATCTTCTACTCCCCTGCTGTCATCTTCACTGTTTCTTTCTTCACCATTGGCTTGTTTGAAATGCTTTTGTTCCTCACTTTCACCTTCATCTCGTTCGTCTGCCTCATATTGCTCTCCTCCATGCTTCTCTGTTTCCTGGCTTCCTTCGTCTTCATAGTGATGCTTTTCAGATTCCTGAATGTGCGTTTCATCTTTGTAGTGTTGGTTTTCTTCTGTATTTTTCTTTCTTGTTACTTCATGTTTCCCATCTGGAATAAGATGTCATGAAGGTTTAAGGATTTTGCATCAAGAACTAAGAATTTCATTACTGTGGACATGAGTTCTCAGTTATATTTTGCACTGCATGAAGGCCAAAATCGTTTGTTGTTATTTCTCATTAGATTAAGATGCCCTTCATATTATGCTGGTTAATGCAGGTCACTCATTCATCATAAATCAACTTATCAACTGATCATTGTATCGTTGCTGTTAATAAAAAACTGACTGAATATCAAAAAAGGTTTCTTCAAAAGTCCCAAAAGACATTGACTGAAGCTCTTTCGGACTTGCTGAAGTGGTAAAGTTGTAATCTAAAGTATCTTCTTTACAGGACTATAGTGTCAGCAATATAAAAGGTCATTTACATTCACTGATCCTCCTCCAAACATCCTTGGTAAATGCTGCATCTTATATCCCAGTGAATATTTTCAGAAGATTTTAGTATTGGAGGATCTGAGACACAAAAGCAATGTTAATGCAAAACACCAGGATTTCAGACGTGGCCAAATCTCCCGTTTTATTCATCGGAATCCTCCAATCCTTAAAATTTTCTGTACAAAATTTCTCATTAAGTTAAGGGGCCCAGTGACTACAATGATATCTTATTCTTCACTAGTTGCCACAATAGACTCTTGAGGTACAGAGATAGCGTCCCTACCTTTGATGCAGGAGGCCAAGGTTGACATCCCACCTACTCTAGAGGAGTCTGAACAAGTTGATTTAAAATATCTGCAAGCCAGTCTACAGTTCTCAATGGTGGGAAGGTGAGTGAGAATGTTTACCAACCCATTTTCCAATAAAAGTCCCACTTATACATGAAGCTTCAAGACAGGAACACTGAATGGACTGTCCAAATGAAAAGCATGATAGCCAAAATTTGGAGCAGATATAAATGCAGACCCAGCAGATATTTAATAAAACACACAGATATCATGAAAGCATGCACTTGGAAGATGTGGTTTGTTGGTTTGCACCTACCCAACCACCTAAAAAAGGCTAAATCCACAGATCTCCCAGGTTCCTGACACCCGTCACTTATTAATGGCCTTAAACCAAACACTACTGAAAAGTAATGTGAAAAAAAACTTTTTTAGAATAAAGGAGCAATAACACTCTAGAACTGACTTTTTTGAGCTTTCATAGAGTCATAGAGATGTACAGACACTTCAGTCCACCTCATCCCATGCCAACCAGATAAACTAATCTTGTCCCACTTGCCAGCAATTTGGCCCTTTAAACTTTTCCTATTCATATACCCATCCAGATGTCTTTTAAATGTTCTAATTGTACCAGTCTCCACTACTTCCTCTGGCAGCTCATTCCATACATGCATCACCTCTGCATAACAACGATGCCCCTCAGGTCCCTTTTAAATCTTTCTGCTCTCATCTTAAACCTATGCCCTCTAGTTTTGGACTCCCTTACCCTAGGTAATGACCTTGACTATTCGCCCTATCCGTGCCACTCATGATTTTATAAACTTCTACAAGGTCACCCCTCAGCCTCCGATGCTCCAGGAAAAATAGCCCTTGTCTGAAATGAACCTCATCAGATCAAGTAAAGAAGCCATAGCGATTGGGTTGTTTTTGACACCATTCTAGACGATTGTACAGTTTCAGTAACAAATATTCAGCTTCCTAAAACCCTGTTATTGTACAGTATTTCAGAGTGGAATCTCGATAATAAAGAAACTGCTCAGGTCACAAGTAGTTACTTGTAAAGCTGGCTCTATTCGGCTATTTGAGGTACTTAAACTCCAAAGGGCTGGGGGTGTGGGAAACACTGATGTTATTAACATTACAAAAGAAATGTACTTACTCTGGAGATAACAAGTTGTAGAGCTGGATGAACACAGCAGGCCAA